CGACACTATGACAGAGTTAAGAACGTGTGCCATGCCAACAGTAGTAGAAACTTTAGATCGCCTACAAGGCGCAAATTTGTTTTCAGCTCTCGATCTTCGCTCAAGATACTGGCAGATACCGATAAAACCAGGTGATAGAGATAAGACGGCATTCATCGTGGGTCAGACACAATATCGATTTAAACGCATGCCGTTTGGACTAGCGGGCGCACCGTTCACGTTCAGACGACTGATGACGCTATTACTTAAGAACTTGAAAAACGTTGAGGTGTACGGTGATGATCTCGTCATATATAGTCAAAACGAAAACGATCATGTGAACCATGTGGAAGCCGTGCTGCGACGCATCGAAGAGTTTGGACTGCGCGTCAACAAAACCAAGTCTCAGATAGCCAAAAAGAATGTAACTCTTTTGGGACAAAAAGTGGGAAATGGTGAGATTAAACCACTACCAGAGAAAATCTTGACGATAAAGACGATCCCGGCCCCGAATTCAAAGAGAAAATTGAGACAATTCCTAGGTAGAGCAGCGTTTTATAGTCGCTTCGTGAAGAACTTCAATGAGATAGCAGCCCCTCTGTACAGACTACTAGGTGAACCGAAGTTTATTTGGTCGGAGGAATCGCAGAAGACATTCAACAGGATTAAACAGCTGCTCGACCACCAACAAATGACACTAAAACTACCTGTACCTGGAAGACAGTTCACAGTGTGCACAGATGCCAGTGACTACGCCATAGGTGCGGTCCTAAGACAGGGTGATGGAATCGTTGAGTATGCCAGTAGGGTTTTGACGCACACAGAGCGAAAGTATTCAACGATAGAGAAAGAATGTTTAGCGATGGTATGGGCAATTGACAAATGGAGACCTTATCTACTCGGCCGGCTGTTCCACATCGAAACTGACCATAAGCCGCTACAGTTTTTGAAGACAGCGAGAGACCCACAAGGTAAATTGTCACGGAGTACGATTTTACGATCTCACACGTTCCCGGAAATGAAAATGTCTTCACAAATTTGTTATCGAGACCAGAAGACGAGTCTGAGTTGCCCGAGGTCGCGTACGGAGTGCATGCAGTAGAACAAGACCCACTAAGACTGGCACGCAGACAAAGGTTGGACGATACGCTGAATACAGTAATACAGGTGATCACTAACGGAATAGAAGTGGATCCAGCTACAGCGAGTAAGGAGCTAACCACACTACTCAGACAGAAAGATTGACTAAGAACGACGGAAGCTGGCTAGCTGTCATACCTCTGTGGTGAGAGCCGGCTACTAGCTAAAGTTGGTAGACAGTAATTGACGTCAATGTTTATGTCCTCAATATTGGTGGTGAGAAAATGAGAACAAAGGCCTTGCGTAGGCGGATTCAGTTAGCATATGGATGATCTGACACAGCCACAAAGAGATGCGAGGTTAACTTTCTGTGAGAAACAACCAATCAAAATGCTGTATTTTCTACTAACAATAATCTACAATAATGTACATTAAAATCTATAAATATGTGTTGATTTTCCTTAATAAATGATCTGTTGCCTGGCCCTTGTCTTCTGTTGTTACACCTCAATCGTCGCGCCACGGCATGATAGAAGAATGTCACTAGCTAGCACATACAGGAGTGGCCAGAACAACCGACCTCTTGAGACAAAGTATATACTGGCCAGGTATGAGAGAAGACGTAGCAAGATATGTACTTCGATGTCCACGGTGCCAGCTAATGAAAGGCAACAGGTACATACGACCACCACTTCAGTCGATTCCAGTTACGGCGATAGGTGACTTGTGGTTCTTAGATGTCATGGTTCCATTTCCTCAGACATCCAAAGGTAATCAGTACCTCTTGGTGATGACGGAACACGCGACACGATGGGTAGACGCCATAGCAATCCCAGACCAACGCGCAAGGACCGTGACAGATGCAGTAGTTAAACACATCGTTGCAGACCACGGCGTACCAAAGACAACACTGACAGACCAAGGTCCGTGTTTCGAAAGTGAAGAATTTACTTCCCGTTTGCAACAGCTTGGCATCAAGAGGATCCGAACGACCCCATACCATCCACAAACGAATGGCCTGACGGAGAGAAACAACCGTACGCTGAAGGAGTGGCTGGCCTCGAAAGGCGGTAACTGGGAAACGGAGCTGCCACTGATTCTACTAACACATCGTGCCACCACCCAGGAAACAACGAAGAAGTCACCCTTTCAACTGATGTATGGTAGAAAACCACGATAACCGGTACACAACGAAACCTGGCCCCTTCACCAAAAGTGGAGTACGACGAAATTAAAAGCAGAACGGAAAGAAGCCATCAAGAATGTAATGCAGAAACAGCGGAGGGATGTCGCGGAGTCTCAGCTGAGAGAAAAGACTCAGTGCATTACCTTCTCAGTCGGGGACCAAGTGAAGTGTAGAGACAGAAGATATGCAGTTGGATGCGGGCCAGGTTCACGCAAACTCCTTCCGAAGTGGGAAGGACCATACACAGTCACAAAAAGATGGGGTCAAGTATATACCATCAGAAGAGGTGACAAACAAATACGAGTTAACGCCAATCAGATTCAACGATGGATGCATTGGGACAAGCCGGTCCGTAACAATCATCAGCTAGAGGATGCATCACCCAGAAGGTCGGAACGCCTGCGCGCGAAGCTGTTTGACGGGGGGACGAGTGTGGTGAGAGATAGTTGCTAGCCAAATCGATAGACAGTAATTGACGTCAATGTTTATGTCTCAAATATTAGTCATGTGAAAACAAGATCAAAGATGGACAGCAGACTTTGCGTAGGCGGATACAATTAGCAGATAGATGATCTGACACTCAAGAGACAGCAACAAAGAGATGAAAGATTAACTTTTAGTGAGAAACAAACAATCAGAAAACTGTGTTTGTCAGCTAACAATAATCTATAATAATGTACACGAAAATCTATAAATATGTGTTGATTTCCACAATAAACAATCTGTTGCCTGAGTCTTGCCTTCTGTCGTTACATACTTATCTACCGCTTTTAACCTGTGTAATTAACCTCACAGTAAAACTATATATATATATATATAATTTTTACTGTCCGACTTACTGCCCTTATTTTCCTTATGGGTACTCATACATTTTTCATTGCAGCCTGCTGGGTAGTTATTCACTACTAATGTTTTATTTATTCGTTTCATTTCATTATTTAGATCTTCTGACTGACTAGTTAGGTTCTTGGGTCGATTGTATGCGCACTTAACTAAAACTACTTTTACCGATTTTGAGTGCGATGAATCAAATACTAGGCTCTTATTATTGTGTCGGATTTCTGCCTGTACTACTATCTAACCTAATGTCCTGTTTTCGATTGATTTTACAGTCTACCATGACTAACTCATCCTGTTTAGTTTGTAAGTAAGAAGTGAATCAGATCCCATCTTTCATGAAGCCTCCTCGACACAAAATCAAGGAGAAGAGTAGATTTGGGTCAGACCATTATCTACTATGTATACGGTTCATAAACAAGTTGAAAGACGTAACAGTAGCTGGAAAGAGTTCTCAATTCAAGTTCTGTACTCGAAAACTGGTGCGCAAAACTACCAATGACACATTATTAGCAGTCATAAGGAAAAAGATAGATGCATAAAGTAGCGTCACTGAGGAAATCTGTGTGAAGGAACAGTGAAATTCTTTGACAGCTTTACTACTCCAAACCTGTGTAGCTATCTTAATAGGGAAGTAGAAAAAACAAGGAATAGCTCTCCAAAAATACATTGCAATTAATAGAGTGGAGAGGGTTGGTGAAACAAAGAGTAAACCCACTCAAAGATGGATAGTGAAAGCAGAAGCTGAGTTCAATGTGGAACGCACTGAATGTAGAAACAAACCAGAATGTTAGAAAAGAAAACAGACGCTCCTCCAACACACTGATAACTAAAAATGCGCAGAACCCATGCAAGAGCCACCTCAGAACACTTCGCCAGTTAATCAGACTGCCAGTCCGTAGAGCATTAACACAGAAGAAACCACTATCAGTGAAGAGAATCTAATTAGCAAAGGCGGAAGGCAAAGGAAGCAATCGGCTGACCACTTGACAAAGGCTTGAATCGGCTCTTACCAGCTACACGTAGAGAAAGCCAACCAACAAACACAGAAATGCTAGTGGACACGCATCTTCCGACAAAAGCAGAAGTCACGAATGTATCAAAGTTAGTGGAATCCAGTCGGGAAGGCAGAAGGACCATACCCAATTCCTCTGGAAGCCCTGGAAACACATCCAGTTTTCTCGTCAGGTATCCCCATATCATTGTTGGTGAAAGTCTGCAAGAAAGCAATGATACCTACCAGAGTAGGTCGATTTACATCTTTGCAGAAGCTGGCACGGAATCATGCACCCGTCCGCTCAAGACAAAATGGCAAGTCATGCCATCATGGAGAGTACGAAAGACTACTGGGATTCAAAATCCAAAATAGAACAATCTGGACTCACGAAAAGAAAATCATGTGCTGGTCAAATCACATCGCCACGATCTTGATCGAACAGAGTATAGAATGGCAGTTAAAACCCTGCTTCAACTTCATCGACATTGTGAAGGCGTTCGATAGTGTTGAGCAAAAAGTAGTTTGGAATCTGCCCTGACACTACGGAATGCAGTGTCTCAAACCTTCATCAACCGCTGACTGACATCCTGCGCCAGGCCCTTGATTGGAAACCGAGTGGGAAACGAAGAGTTAAGCGTGTGTCAGTGAGTGACATGGAGGAGATCATGTGGGAAGGAGAGTGGGGAGGAGGAGGTGGTGGAGGCAGATAAATTGAATTACAGAGAAGAGGATGAGATGGTGTGCTTTTGAAGCTGTATGTTTGAATTGAAGCTTAAGGGAGTAACAATATATATTACAATATAGCTAGAATCTAGTTTGAATCTGCTTACGATCAGAGTATATGCACATTTACATAACTGTCCCTTTTTACTACGATCCCACTGATGTATGTAGATACAAAGCAGAGTTCAAACAAGTTCAGAAGCATTATATTTCGCTTAAGTTCTTATTACAAGTTTAAATTAACATGCATGAAACTAAAATGAATATATTAACTTTATGAAACAGATTAACAGCTACGGAAAACATTCGTAGATAACTTTTTCTACAAAGCCTTTAGAAGAGTTTATAAAATGAATCACGGCCTTCAGCATCACGCGAGGACAAGTAAAACTGAATAGAAATGATAGATGTCAGTTGCTTGCTGTACTATGACAAAGATCATTCGCTAAAAAACTGTTTCCTTGACGTGAAACATAAATGTACATATATATACATATATTCAGCAGCTAGTACATTTTTGAATAATGACTAATACATTTTAATGCCAAATAAATGTTTACAAAGTATCCGACGAGAAATATTTGTGCACGGGGAAAAGTTCCCTCCGTATATAAATAGGCTGGTGTATGTAGAAAGCGTGCCAATGCAAAAACTCGAAACAGCCATATTCCAACTTTAGCCGATGGATTTGTTTTACAGTAGATAAAGCCAAGAAATAGAAAAGGTACTAAACTCTCCATATCATTCACATGACATCTTCATTGAGAAATAAACGAAAATAAAATATTTTCATGGAACAAGATTATAGTCAACTTACCTTTGTACAGCTCTAACTTCAGGATGAGGTGGACTTCCCGCAAATGACTATTCAGTGGTTTTATTATTAAAAAACTGAAAGATTATTATGATACCTTTCTCTGTAAACGTTTGACTATTGTTAATCCAGCGAGAACTAAAGCTTTGCCGGCTAAAACAGTTCCGTAGAAAGCAAATGTCCCTTTCAAATTCGAAGAAACCATATCTGACTTCACTTTAAATGAGTTGGCTAAAAGTTATGTGCAAGAATCACACTAGTTACCAGCTGAAATACTTAAGCAATTCATTTTTGTTTGTGTATTTATAATTAATTTAAACAACGTATTTTTATTAAACGGTTTTCTGATTGGTTATTTGTGATCTTAGCTTTTATGCTTAGCATGACACATGATATTAAAAAACCTTGTCAGTCATAACCCTGCAAAAACTCCTATGATCATTTTAAAATTTATTTCAGTTAGCACGGACTACTGTGTCAGAATTTAGAGTATAAATTCATACATTCTGAATGAGTCATTTTTAAGTTAAGAAATGGTATCTGTTAGAAACTCAGACTGATCGTTACTGACAAGCATCTGATGTAAGTCTATAAATGATTCATAATTATTTTTTCAGACACCCAACAGTTTCTTGGTGTGATCACTTTTTAACCACTAACCAAAATTTGTCACAAACAAACTTGAAGGTTTATCAGTTAAAAAAAGAAAATCACCTAGAAATAAACTTCAATCAATCAAAGAATAATTCACTAAAATGAGACTCCTAAATCTAATAATTTTTATTAAATGTTATAAATAGGTAACTGTAGCCCTTAATAAATATTTTGTAATATCTAGTCTAAAATAAATTAGTCACCTGATGTCTCGAGCATTTGACAAGAATAATTTTATTTGCAATCTTCATATAAATGAAAGGATGCGTTTTATTAACTTGTATCGATAGATACAGAGCAAATTTAAAAGGAAACGAAACAGTAATATCAGATGTAGTTACACTCACATTTCCTATACGTTTAATTTCTGAATGGTGAATAATAATAATTAAGCGTCAGAAAAGTATTTCGGTCCTTGACGCCACTGAAGAGCCCCGCAATAAACAAGGGAAACAGAGGTGTGGTGTTTGGACTGTTTCTGTATGTCTAGTGAGCCCTGGCAATGGATGTGAGTAGTTCCTAACTATTCGCTGCTGTGTCATTTGGTGTATAGCCATTAGAAATCCACTTTATCTTTGAGAGGCCACTGACACAAATTTGTCTTCATAGTAAAACATCAGGTCGTAAGGATTTCTGTAACGGGAATCTTTATCAACACTGTCCCTACCCTTCACTACAATTAATCATTTACAGTCACTTATAAAACCAAAGTTCACTTAAATACAGTCCGTCTTTAAAACCTTTATAACTCTAGGTCCGTTGCCATCTACATTGATAATACTTAGATGCAGTTTTGATGTCAAACATTTTGTCCATTCACCTTTATCACCTCTTTCGTCTTGTGACTATTATTTACTGATACTTTATGTCTTTTTGACTACAACACAGTACTGAATATTTTGTCGTAAAACACAAGTTTTTTGTCCATACTTAAGAATCTTTATGTGTTTCCAAGAGCAATCAAATCCATACATCTTATCTATAACAATTATCATTCATTTATGAATATCTGTGGAAAAGACAAATACTTCTGATTTGAATTCCGCGTATATATATATATTCTTTTCCAGTTCTAATTATCGCCATATCACTACGATAACATTTAGCTTGCGGTTACTGTTTAACAAATACTGTCAATTATTAGATACACAAATGATGCTAGTGGGATAGTTGTGCAAACTTGTGAATTAATTCTTCAAAAACAGATGCCCTTGATGAATAATTCAATCTGTTTCTTCCCCGTATCTAAACAGAAATTATTCTCCTAAACGAAGACACTGTTTTTACGGGTGTAAAAATAATCGGTCGATTTTTTTACAAAAACGGTTATTACCAAAGAAGAATAAATAAAATACACTAATATTACATCATGGTGACTTTCACCACTTATTTGCATTCAGAGTTTGTCCAGCAGTTTCAGATAGCTTTAATAAACTCCTACCTTTGTGATAGCTTCGGTGGTTTACATGCATCTGAATACATATGCATGCAAAACTGTGTAACCTATGAATTTCACTGACTTTCGTAAGGTTAGTTTGTAGGCAACTTAAGGACACGACAAATGATAGTTGGAAATAAAATAGCTTTGAAGAGTAGGTCATACACTTCTCGCAAAGCATTCTGGTAAATAATAAAATATCAGACCCATGAACATTGAATTTAAAGATGATACTGCAGCTGAGATTCTGAATAACCGCTAATACAGATAGCTGAGAAAAGCCTTCTTTGACGCTGAGCTACGGATCAATTTCTACAGCCGACGAATGACCAATGGATGTGTGAAGGACAAACTGCCGCTTTGAGCCACTCCAATATGTGTTTACAAATTCACCTGCTCCTGTGGATCTAGTCATTTTGGCCGCACAAAGCACAAACTTTTCAAATTTATCTCTGAACATTATCCGACTTGGTTAGCGAAAGGACAATGCAAGACAGTTACCAGCTCAATTCTCGAGCAATTGGTGGACTCAAGCCTCACAGCTCCACCAGAGTCTTCTTTCAAAATTATCTACAAAGTGAGGCCAAATGGTACAGAGGCCGTCAGGTTTCAGCATTTTGTATAGCAGAAGCGTCGGCGATTCGTCAACACAACCTCAAACTCCCTATACAGAAAACGTTTGTCCAGCCTCTTATTCTACCATGCTCTTAACCTCTCCATAAGCCGTTCCCTGCAAATATTTTATTTTTAGTGATTAATTTGCTTTTACTTCATCAATTAATTCACTGTTATCACTCTCACATGTTCCTTTTCGACGTTTTCTCACCCTCTTCACATTTGTTAAATGGGCACTCAACTGCCTCTCTTCTCACTCAATAACGATTTTAACCTTATCAAATTTCTGATGCTTTCTTCCTTCGTGCCGTTGAGTATTACGTAATTAAAAACTTTTATTTTTACTTTCGAAGTCACTTCTAAGCAATTATATCACCCCTATTACTGAATAATGAACTACTTTACATTTTCGTTAAGTATAAATGCGACTGTACACACCTATATCACTTTAATTGTATTTCAGTCGGTTACAGCTTTTTGAACTTCGTACTATTAGTTTCCTTCTTTTATTTTATCATTCTTCTTCAGCAGGCGGTTGTGTTGGCTTCCTAGAACCAAACAACGTCTGAAGAAAACATTCTTATTATTGTTTCCTTTAATTCCTAGAGGAACATAGGGCTTCAGCCGTGCGTCTCCATTGCGTTCTGTTCTCTGCTAGAGTTTTCACCTGGCTCCAAGTTTGCCCACACGTTTTCATCTCCTCTTCACATGACCTCCTCCAAGTCACCCTCGCACTGACGACCAACTCGCCGCTTCCCTTTCGGGTTCCACTCGAGCAATGGCTTGTCTAGTGATGTCACTTGATGGTTTCTTCAGAGTATGGCCAATCCATCTCCATTTCTTCCTGCCTATTTGTTTCACAATTGGTTCCTGGTTGGTTCGCTCATTGCCAGAGATCTCTGTTGCTGATCTTTTCTGGCCGGCCATCTGATCTTGAGTATTGAGCGAAGACAACTAGCTGTTGATGAAGGTCTGTAGTTTGTTTGAGATGCTCTTTATGACGCGCCAAGTCTCTGATCCGTATAGTAGCACTGACTTCACATTGGAGTTGAAAATCCGGATCTTAATTTTGATGCTGAGTGCTGTTGACCTCCACACAGGCTTGAGAGTAGTGAAAGCTTGTCTTGCATTTTCGATTCTTGCTTTGATATCCTCGTCAGTTCCGCCTGCCTGTAGTTGAAATGATGCTTCCCAGGTAGGTTAAAGGAGGTTGTTTCTTTCAGATTCCTCCCATTTATGCTGATCGTTGTCTGTTGTTGTTGTTCTTGCCCAGGAATCTTCATCACCTCTGTTTTCTCTATGTTCACCTGAAGTCCTATCTTTGATGCTTCTTCTGCCAACTTGTTGTTTTTTGCTTGCATATCTTTCAGTTTGTGGGAAATCAGACATATATCATCGAGTGAAGTCCAAATCCTCCAAGCGTTTTGTGTGAGTCCATTTTATGCCTGTTTCCTCATTGCCCGCTGTTTGTCGCATTATCCAATCTACTGTAATCAGGAAAATCATCATCATCACCTCATAGACTTCTCTTCAGATGTATAAATATCGTGGAATTCAAATTTTAAATATAGGAGAATTCCCGTCCACTTTATGAGACAGCAGAATTAGAATCAGAATAGAAAAATCTTTAACAGACATTACTGACCATTGGCTGTGGTCCAGTGTTGATAGATAATAAAAATTTGACTACCTAAAATTATCCAAATGAAAAGAAACCTTTATGATCTAAAAAGACAATAATATTCAGTGGGACATAGAGCTTCAAGCTTGACCTTTGAAGCTGATTTTTTACAAGGTGGGGGAGCTACAGCCACACGCCTAACTTTCCTGCTTTACCAGCCTTACCACTGGCTAAGTGAGGTTAAAGAGTATGTCAACTGGGGATCGGAAACCTGGCCAAGTGTGTATTTGGCGAATATTCTACTATTGAACCATTAACATATATATGGGTGATTTGTGTATTTTAATTAGCAAATTTGGAAGATGATTTCAGTATTAAGAACCCTCTACCGTTTATATCCTGCCGAATTAGCTGAAAGTATATTTTACTTCCCACAACTATTTATGTTATCCAAATACTTTGTTCATGATAGTGAAAGTACATCAGGCCTTACTAGAATTTTCGTATCGCACTCGGTACTCACTGAGTTTTGAGGTATTACAGAACTGTTTAAAATATCCATTTTGCATTTTTTTTTCTTGTTTTGTGATAAATATGATGCAAAAAATGACGTATCTTTTTATTTTGCCAAATAAAATGTAATATCAACCATGTGTAATAAAGACAGATTGTTTAATTTATGTTTAGCAAAAAAGAAAATGAAACAGCGGACGCAGTATTTGCTGTTTATACAAGCTTAAATTGTATTAAACATTTTCTGGTCATTATTTTGCTAGCGAAATCATCTTAATACAACTACTATTCATAAGAGAAAAATTTTTTCGCTAACTTGTTCACTTCGAACAGTATTAATCATTACAGTATAATGAGTGCTTGAAATAAATTTCTTGAGAAGTGAAAGTATTAAGTCCCATTGCATGATGGTAGACTAATATGTTCATAATTTGAAACCTAAATTATATGAACTGTGCTTGTTGGTTTATAACACTACCCGTTTGACGAAGAAAACTTCATCGTTGCTTTATTTTATGCTGTTATTATAGCATAAAAAGTTTACTCTCAAATAACTAAGTGAATTTTTTTTTAAAAAAAAAAGGATGAAAGTTGAACTCTAGTGGAAAAGGAGTCATTTACTGACATGTGCATTATTCTGTATCCGTAGGGTTTACAGTGCATTGAGTTGAACACAATAGCTAATGGACCTTCACCAAAAAATATATACTATCTTAATAATGCACTAAAAAATAACAGAAATGCACACCGAAGGAAAATAAAACTTGTATTTAATAGTTATTATTTAATTTTGAATAACAATAACAGCAATATTCAAGTGTTGGTTTGTAGGGATTTGATTGGTTACAGGATTTTCATCATGAGCTGACATTAGTTAGAGAACCATTGGAAAACCTGGGAGTACTAGACAGCTGTTTCGTCCTAGTTTGGGACTCTTCGGCAGTACGCACCCACCCACTGTAAACCAGAACGTCCTGGGTTTTAATTCCGTTGAAGAGTCCCAAACCAGGACGAAACAGCTGTCCAGTACTTTTATTTCTTTCGATGGCTCTCTAACTAATGTCAGCTCATGATGAAAATCCAATAACAACAATAGTTATATGATTATAAATTAGTTGAACTAACCGTAATAGCCCAATTAAAGATGCTTACATCTTTCCTCATTCACTAACAATGGTTGAAAGTTCTCAAAATAGTCACAGTTGTCATGAAATTCCGTAGTGCAACCTTAATATCAATGGAAATTGAATTGGAGTGCATGTCACCTATCGTCGACAAAAATACCTACCAACTTTTCTGGAAGATAGCAAGCAACTTTATGATGCATAGTGGTTGATTTATTTTAGGTAACACTGAAATATCATTTATATACATTTCACACATGAAGTATAAACTTAAGGCTCGAAAAATTTCATGAGCACCAGATTTTTGTTTTCATTCAACTTTTAATGTCTTTTAAGAAGTCACCCACAGCATATATAATGTTTTCTACATTGTCGAATCAGTCTTGTCTTTGAAGTCGTTTCCTAGTTTGAATATCCGTGTTTTTCTGGCAATTATTTTCACATATGCACTGCAATTTTATGCTGCATAACTCCACTTAAGCCTTCTAGGTTGAAATTTCCAAACATTAATATTATTTCTGAAATTCTGTTTAAGAATATTCTTATTACACTTTTGGTTTTAACATTAGTCAGATACAATATTTAGGAATTTTTCGAGCTAAACCTCGTCGCTGATTCTTTTCATACAGTGACCTAATGGATTACAATTAAGTCTGACCACAGGTATTAAACTTTCAGTCTGATTCATTCTCATGATAGATTGGAAATCCTTGCGCCCTTGTCAGTTATTCTGAAGGAATTTTGACATATTTCAGGGCCATGAATATAACTTTGATAACACCACAGTATATTTTCTGGTTTTGCAGTAAATTGGTCCCATAGATCAAAATAGTATTTTTAGCACTACATTAGTTAATATATTTACCATAAAACCATCTTCTCACTCTTCCAAAATTTATGCTGAGAAACGAATGATACAGCATGCCTTAATTCTTGACTATTTTATCAAAAGAACTGTCTTAAACATCGACTATAAATTAGTCACTACCAAAGTGATTAAATTTATATGCTAATACGAATTTGTAAGTGCTCAGGTACAATTTTAAATGTATTTGTTAGTTGACCTAGACGCTATTCCTAAAAGAATATTCACCAATGTCAGTTACTCGTTACTGTTTATTTTATTGCACACATGATTCAGTTACTTCGGGGTTATTTACTGGTGTGAAAATATGGGACTACATAATTTAGCAACCAGTAAATGAATAATTATGTTATGGGTACGTGCAAATATACTTCTTTAGACTGCTATAAACCTTATTTCAATACTCAGTTATTCAGAAGCAGTATTCCTGACTTTCTTGAAAACCTGTAAGGGACCACGAGACCCTTTAATTTGTTATCACTATGATTTTCGACTTATCAAAAGACAGAAAATAAATATTTGGATAGAAGTTAGTGTTTAAATGCTTTAGAGGATAGCAGTGAATAGATCTCATTCATTGTGATGATTTTTAAATGAATTTATCAAAAGATTCGGCTGTTTATATTCACACTAAGAAGCCTACAATAACAGAGGCGTCTTAAATTGAAGATGTCTTGAACCTTTTGTCATTGCTACATATTTTCCTATTAGATGGTTAGAGGGAATCGGCAGGAAGCCTTGCACCTAGGTTTCGTGCTAGTTTTCACTCGTCAGCAAGGCGTATCTGCAACCTTGAAGGAACTCATGTCCCTTCTGAGATTCGAACTAGCGTCGCCCACTGAGTGCTGCAGTCAGAGATGTTACCAATGAGCTATTCGGGGTCGTGACTGACCTCCTGTAGAACTGTATTGAATGTTTCTGATTGGAAACTAGTCAGTAACTAGTGTAATGCGTCTAGTCCTATCTTTGGTGCAGACTGAATCCCAACAGTTAAGTTTGCAATGTGGCCACCATGCTAGGTAACTCGCCATCACGGTACACTGTGAATTGTTAGTGGTAGAAGGTTGGAAGCAGTCGGCAAGAAGCCTTGCACCTAGGTTTCGTGCCAGTTACCACACTGTAAACTTGACTGATAGAATTGAGTATGCACCAAAGATATGACTAGACACATTACACTAGTTACTGACTAGTGTTCAGTCAAAAATATCTATATATTTTCGTTTATGTGGCTTTCTATCCAGAATACTCTGAATTTCGCGGCAATTTTTTATAAAATACGACATGTAATTCACCAAAAGCTGTTCATTTTGACTTAGAGACAGCTGATTTTTGTTGTACTGAACAACTTATCAAAACCTTTGAGTCTCACTTTATATGGGGCTTTATAATAAAGTAATGTCTAACTACATGATAGTGTACACGTAACAGTGGCAGAAATGTACAAAGTTTCAACTTCGTCACAACCAATGTGATGTGCTAAACTGTATCGGAGACATGTGCCTTGAAAACTTTGACCCACAACAGCGCACTTTTTCTACTACATCCCCTTGTCTTTTTTTCTACAAATTCAAAAAACAGAAGTAAATATAATATATATAATAATAATAGGATGACTCTAAAGAAAGTGTTGATGCAAAAATTAGGGTGTTTTGTTGAAATAGGAAAGAATTTTTCGACAAATATTTTAGAACAACCAAACAAATGCTACTAACTATCGAATTTAGTAGTATAAAAGTTTTCAGCTGACTACAGAATGACGAGCGATACCAGCATGTAGCTACTTACAACCATCACCACCATCTATGGTTTGGTTTTTTGTATGTAATAACACAAAATGAATTCGCAGTCTGCACTAGTTTATTTTACAGGAGAGTTATTTTATCTTGACAGCAACAGGAGAGCCTGTGCTTTTAAGAATCGCCTCACAAACTAAGTGCCACAACTCTGGTCAACACCAACTCAGAGATAAAACAGATGTGACCATATCACCAGACGCCTAAGATAACTCAGATCTGTTTCTGAATATTGTTTGATTTTTATAACCCTTTATATTTGCTAATCATTGAGCATGCTTATAATATGTCAAAGCTGGAACAATACAATTTCCTTCCTCATTCTGAACTACAAATTTCCCCTATCATATTATATTAGTTTTCGTCCAGATTAATAAACTCTGCAAATATATACGACAATAGACCTTTTGTCAAATTAGGTGCAAATATTCCAGCATCGATAAGAATATCAAAAACTGGCTTGAACCATCTTTATTAGATAATTAGGTGGCAGAAGATATGCCACCTAATGAAGAGGAAACCGCAGCTCTTAAAGAAATCGTCGAAGTTTCAGCTTCCATAAGTCATCCGGACATTTACTTCGAAACCACACTTATTGGCTGTCAAATAACAAAACTCATGCGTTGCGTTTGTTTCACGGGCTAAATTTGTTTTTCCTCACCCCAGTAATACACGCTTTAGCTTGACATATCACCATTTCTACATCGTTATTACTGAGATTTTATCATAACATGGAAATTGTCATTGAAGTCTTGCTCGTTCATTTTTAGTTTTAAAACAGGAGCTAGAACAGGTCAGAAACTGGTACAGAAACGGAGAATGAACACTGTGATAGAGTACAATTCTTTCACAGAGTGGTTTCAATTTTTAAAAAAACCATAGTGAGACAATATTCTTCACTGATAACATTTCGGGCACAATTTATTGTTCATAATCATATGAAGGCACTCTCATATCTTTTAAACCTTCTTTCCTTTATTCAATTATTCAGTATCCTGTAATTTCATTGGCAGTCATATTTTCCATATCTCTGGTATTGGCGTCACGTCACTCCTACTGGGCGTGCTAGGTATAGATCCAACGAAAAAAGATTGAGTAACCAGCCTTTCTCCACCTACCCATATTGCTTTTTAGAACTGTAGCTCTGTCCCACCCTAATATGTTATTGTACGTCAGCGCATACATTATCTGATTAGTTTTGATCTGAGTTGTTTACCTCTCGGGGATTAATCAATCTACACTTGACCAAATTCCTATGTCCCGATAAGCTGACTGAATCCGACCCACCGGACTGGACTGTACAGTTTATCTCATTATCGTTACTAAGTCCCTTGCGGAAAAAATTATTTTTTCTTACTGGGAAAAAGAGGTACTTCATACTTACAATACACATTCTTAATTATGCAACTTCTGAATAGTGAAAGTAAGAAAGTTAGTTTGTGTTCTAAGTCAAAGAAAAAAGTCAATAAAAGTCATTCGCTAACACTAGATTCATAAATTTCCATGCAGTTTTATAGGCTTAAAGTATCAAAAATGTCTCTGATGTAGATAATGATGAAGTTAGGAAACATTTTTATTCACAGTTTACTACCTGTTCATCCTTACAAACTACAAAATGGAAGACGGTAACTTAAAATTTTTTCACAGTGTCTTCGAAGCTACATATTTATTGTAGGCATGCATTTTGCTGATAACAAATTAATAGTACAGTATCATTAACAGTTTCTGTGAGTCATAGTTAACATAAAATTAAAGGTAGTAGGCCAAACATTGTAGGGCTAAGGAAAGATTAACCGCATATCCTGCCATGAATATAGGTCCTCTTATCTCGTGGCCATCTGTAAATAAATATGCTGGAGTATGCAAAAGACGTGATAAAGCAAATATTCTGAAGTGCCATAGTGCTGCAAAAGGTGACGGATTTGTCTTTAAGTACATCGTCCCAAGAAATAAAAATGGCACCAGGTTTTCGATATCATTCAGATGACACCTAGTGATCAAGATTTGAATAGTATTTCTCTTACCTACGAACAGCTTCTACGTGAATATTGGGAGTATCTTTGCAAAATGCCTACGTAAAGAAATTCATTGCACAGTTATATTGACATACCTTGTATTTTATCCTTTTCGCAATCGTTAATCCAATCAGTACCAAAGTTTTAAAGGCCAGCAAACTGCCATAAAAGGCAAATGATTCATTGAGGCCCTTCTGCGACATCACATAAGATATTTTGAAAAATAATACATTTCGGTAGCAACCAGTGGGAATGTTGACAAACAAAGATTTCGAATCATGATTGGCAGTACTCTTTTATGGCCACACTGATGAAATATATGAGTGCGTACATGATTCACAGCCATGGTACGGTAAGGGATTTGTTTATAGATATTTCCAACATATTAAATGCTACCACATTCTTCCTGTGATCCAATATCCAATATCCTGATTACGAGCTAGTATAAACCAGTGATTTCTTTGAGCTAGCTTCTTGATTGTAAGGTAGAGGTTCCAGATCTTCGGTGAACTTATGCGTAGTAAATCCCGCCACTCGACTGCTTTAGCTCTGGTAGACTCCAGGAGGAGTGATGCGAGGATTGGTCAAGATTGTGGTTTGTAGTGTGCAGTATGTTAGGACTCAGCTGCTGCCGTGAATGGAGTTTGACCTAACACCCGTTGGTCATTCGGTATAGTCATAAAAGTAGAGTAATAATAATAATGATAATGATAATAATAGGTTGTAGTGTAGATAATATAGGTTGAGATAAGTGAAATAATAAAGAAAGAAAGAAAAGATAGAGTAGTCGGTACAGTGGGATGACAGGAGGACTTTTTTGAACACACTCAACCATACTGTTTTCTCAGTTTAGCTGATGTGGAGTCCTCAAAAAAAATTAACTTATCCAAATTTTACTACTATGTAAGAAATGAACATATTGTACATAACTTTGCTTTAACCATAAACTCTGTACTTTGAATTTTACCTCGGGTTTTGAATGAATATATAGTTCTGCCTTCGACTCTCCGTCTTCTCCACCATCTCAACTGCCGTCGAACAATTTTAACCACCTGCTTTCTATCTCGAATTTTCGCAGGAGCACCGTAGTTTCTTCCTACGTACTTTGGTCGACTTCCGGCAACGTCAACATTGGAGAATTAGTACTGGAGCAGTCTTCCCGCAGCACCTGGAGTCTATTACGTTTATTGTGGACTTTGGATCTTTGTAAACCCAAATAAGGAAACTTTAATATACTCTTCCCGTAACTAAACTGATTTGGTATTTTATTTTCTATTTGAATTCGGGTAACTAAACTAACAGAGAAAAAGGTCCACCACACTGATTGATTCAGTGTCCATATTTCGGTAGTGTTTGGTTAATCGTCTTTGACAGATTCGTAAGTAGGATAATACCTAAGTAAACGAACATCAAAATGACATTAAAAACCAACCTGGTTAGCCTATAAAAATGCACCAATATGGATGCACTGAGAAGTTTACTATCCGATTAGTAGACCTGTGATCAATCCCTCACCTTCCCAGTGGGGCAAAGAGCTGCAACAGTATACCACTATCTCATCTTCTTCTCTGTAATGCAATTTATCTGCCTCCACCACTCCTCATAAGCTGTCATCTCCTTCCCACATGATCTCTTCCATGTCACTCACTGACACACGCTTAACTCTTCGTTTCCCACTCGGTTTCCAATCAAGGGCCTGGCGCAGGATGTCAGTCAGCGGTTGATGAAGGTTCGAGACACTGCATTCCGTAGTGTCAGGGCAGATTCCAAACTACTCTGTGGTCAACACTATCGAACGCCTTCACAATATCGATGAAGTTGAAGCAGGGTTTTAACTGCCATTCTACACTCTATTCGATCAAGATCGTGGCGTTGTGATTCGACCGACACATGATTAGCTTTTCGTGAGTCCAGATTGTTCTATTTTGGATTTTGAATCCCAGTAGTCTTTCGTACTCTCCATAATGGCATGACTTGCTATTTTGTCTTGAGCGGACGGGTGCATGATTCCGTGCTAGCTTCTGCAAAGATGTAAATCGACCTACTCTGGTAGGTATCATTGCTTTCTTGCAGACTTTCACCAACAATGATATGGGGATACGTGAAGGGATAACTGGATGTGTTTCCAGGGCTTCCAGAGGAATTGGGTATGGTCCTTCTGCCGTCCCGACTGGATTCCACTAACTTTGATACATTCGTGACTTCTGTTTTCGTCGGAAGATGCGTGTCCACTAGCATTTCTGTGTTTGTTGGTTGGCTTTCTCGAAGCGTTGCAGGTGAGAGCCGATTCAAGCCTTTGTCAAGTGGTCAGCCGATTGCTTCCTTTTCCTTCCGCCTTTGCTAATTAGATTCTCCTCACTGATAGTGGTTTCTTCTGTGTTAATGCTCTACGGACTGGCAGCCTGATTAACTGGCGAAGTGTTCTGAGGATACTCTTGCATGGGTTCTGCGCATTTTTAGTTATCAGTGTGTTGGAGGAGCGTCTGTTTTCTTTTCTAACATTCTGGTTTGTTTCTACATTCAGTGCGTTCCACATTGAACTCAGCTTCTGCTTTCACTATCCATCTTTGAGTGGGTTTACTCTTTGTTTCACCAACCCTCTCCCCTCTATTAATTGCCATGTATTTTTGTAGAGCTATTCCTTGCTTTGTTCCTACTTCCCTATTAAGAAAGCTACACAGGTTTGGAGTAGTATAGCTGTGAAAGAATTTCACTGTCCCTTCACACAGATTTCCTCAGTGACGCTACTTTATGCATCTATCTGTTTCCTTATGACTGCTAATAATGTGTCATTGGTAGTTTCGCGCATCAGTTTGCGAGCACAGAACTTGAATTGAGAACTCTTTCCAGCTACTGTTACGTCTTTCAACTTGTTCATGAACCGTAGACTAGGAGAGGTGACAAAAGTTGATGGGAGCGAATGAAACATGAATATCTAGAGGTCACTGAACCATCGTGGGTGAATATGTTCGTAAATGTCGTGATATGCCTCATAGAACGTCCGTGTGAGGGAGTGTGTTGTCATAGGCGGAGTAGGTACGTTTTGAGCTAGCGTTGAATTGACTCGAACATAAACTCTGACTGGGCTGTTATTGGTCATATAGTTTTGAGGTGACTGCAGTATGGTGGTATCGTCACGATCAGGACAATATCTCTTGAAAATTGTATAATATGACTCAAATACTAGGTGGTATTGGTTGGTATTTTTCGTGTTGATGAAGTGGTCCTTAAAGAGAAGTTTAAGCACTGGAGACTGAGTGAAAATCAGACGTAGGTGACTGTCTAATCTACTACAGCTTTAACCTGTGTGCACCTCGTATCCTGTTATAGGATACGTTTCAAACTGCAGGTGTATCGGACAGCAGCGGTCATGATGGCTCTTTTTCAGTCTGTAGCATTTCGCTGGAGAGTTAGGCATTTTCATTGCCCCTCATTACGTGGTACTCTTTAATTTACCACACTTAAATTTGTTCTTAGTCTAGTGCTAACCTTTGTTGTGATGATGCTTCTCAGGTTGTCTTCTCGGTTAGCGATTCTGTGTCAAGTTTTCTGAACATCCTACGCTCACAGCCTTACTACACATAATTTCCTGTATTTCAGCATTCGGTCCTCATATAGATAGCTCTAGCCGATATATTTCTGAAGCATCGGTACTGGGTTTGGTGACACGTACATAAGGTGTACTGAAGAGACCCACGTCAGGAACAGGTGCTGGGTCTGTAGAAGTGGTTCTGCCACCAGTTGTCAGCATATTCTTTCTCTCATTTCCATCTGCGTCAGATGGTAGCGACAAAGCAACTCGACACTTGTGCCGTACTGGCGAGATGTGTGACGCATTTTCACATTTTTTGGGAGATATGTTGCCTAGTGTAGCAAGCAGAGGTGTACTGTCAGTCATCAGATTAACAAGTGACTAGGATCATGGCTCTCTTATTTGATTAACCATTAAGAATTAGTGACAGAGTTAATGGTTACGAGTATGGAACTGGAAAAGCATGTGTGGAAGGTTTGGAACAGAGATAGATTACTTATGGCCATTCACGCTAAAATGCAAAACAATAGTTGAACGCATGGTTCACAACACCCAAACATATGCCTGATATTTGGGCTACCTTCGACGGGATTCACACCAGTTCCATAGAAGGTTTCTAGAGTCATTTGCTCAATATGATTCAAACACGAATCGTTTCACAAAATAACACGGTGTACAGTCATCTCGATAAATTCATACGCCAAAATTTGCTTGGAACAACACTGAGGATTCCAGTTATAAATTGGGAGGCATTCTGCAAACAGGTTATAGGTTGCAAGACCTTCAGCCACACTACTTACCCTTAACACCACCAAAACTAGTGAAGGCAAAATGTATCCCCTACAGATATTCAAGGATTACTGATAGTATTAGGAGAGTTTAGAGATACACAGTCACACCACAATACAGCGGCCACTGTCTTGTTCCTTGAGAACAAAGTTTTCAGCAGTTAGTATGGATAAGCAGATTGACAGTTGGTATGGCTGAGATTTCATTGAACTAACGAACCTCTTCGGTCTACAACACTGCCTTGATACGGTCTCAGTACTTCTCTCAACTGTGTACCGCTCTTTACTGTAAGCAGTTCGGTTCTATTTTTTACAGAGAAATGAGTCAGGTCACCTGATAAGCAAGACCTAGCATTACACGCCTAGATAATACCAAGGCAGCATATATCTGAAATTCTTCTAGTTACTTCCCAACACCTCGTTCCAGCGAACGGGTAACCGTTGTCTTAGCAGTTTATTTTGCTGTATATTTTTTTGGTTTTACTATTTCGAGAAATATAAATTAAACATCTGCTATCCTGAAAATAATTTTCGCATATAGAACTGCTATTAGCTAGTGAAGCAAATTTATCTGCACGTGTTGACTGTTATGCAGTTTAGCCTGAGGCGGACGAGCGATAGCCCTCCTAGTTAGTGTAATTTACCGATTCTCTCTGTCATGTGTGTTTGTAAGCAGCTACGGTCTTTCTTTTTCTAATCAGACTGTTCTCAAAAATGGAGTACGCATATTATCTTTTAACGCAATCTCTAAAAAACTGTTATCAGTGGAGAGAAAGATACTGAAACACACTATGCATAATTCATAA